TATATTAACCAATTCTCGTGTCGAAAGTGGACGCTCGACGTCTGCACCTGGTGAATTACCGGGAGTTGGCGCTGTGTAACTCGAAGAATTACCGTGATAATCAGGAACGAACGGTTGATTAGCATGAGAAAAATTTTCAGGCTGCGCAAAGAACACAGTCCCTCCACTTGTATAACGAACAAAATTATTCGGAGGAACAATCGGAGTTACTGCGGAAAAAACAGTTGTCAAAGGAACGTAGTGTTGTTGAGCTGACATTAAAGGGGCAGCAACAGCTGGTCTCCACAAATTACTATAAGGATTATAGTGGTCACTTGAAAAGTTATAACGGGAACACCCATATATTGTTGTGATGGGATTACAGGTGCTTGGTAGCCAGCTACTACTGATCCTGTAGTTTGATAACTTGAAGAAACCTGATTAGTTGTTGTTGATGCAGGAACGAACGGTGCTACACCAGAAGGAACGTCTGCAGATGTTGTCGGAGCAAAATTGCAGAAGTTAACGGGACTACTGACCCTGTGTTTGGATTGCCTATCACTGGATGAGTGGGTTGAGGCAAATTAATATAAACAGGTTGAATGACCTGCTGTAACCCTACTGGATTGTTAACGGAAATCTGCGATTGGACCAAATTCGACAAGTTATGTCGTTGTCCGTGAATGCGGTTACTGAAATACAATCCCGGATCACTAGAAGCTGCCTGGACATTATTCACTCCTGTAAAACTTGATGAGACCATGTAATTTGTTGATGCAGTATAGGTTTCCTCAGGAGCTGTCGAACGAACGTGCTGCTCTTGATTGGAAACTACAACAGAGTCAGGCTGATTGTGGTCAACAGATTCGACCCAGTGACGCGTACGATCCTTTTCGTCTATTGTTAGTTGTGGAGAGATTCGAGTTAAACCACTTTGCTCAGCATTCTCGCTGATTTCCGAAACTCATCTTCTAACTCAAGCCCTTTCAACTCAATTTCCGCCAGTTTTTTCTTGTGTTCTTCAGCCAATTCTTCCAACTCTAAACTGCTTTGTTGTTCTAAAAAATATTGTTTTATCTTGTTTTGCTGCTCTTTCAGTCTTAATGACACCTTGGCCTGCCTCTCAAGTTCCTCTTGTTGTTTCTTTAAAATTATTAAATCGCGCTTTTTCTCAGTAAGTGTTTTCGACGGAGCGGCGGTACAACGACTAGATTTCTGAGAACCCGATTGCTGATGTCGGCTGCTTCGGTGTGAGAACTTAGAGCGGGTATCTGTTTTATGCGACTGGGGTTTTTCACTTTTTCCAGAATGATGAGAAATTTTTGAGCTGCTATCTGTTGTCCGGCTCTGTTACTGATTCAAAACTTGTTTTATATGTGATAGCTTCCTGTAAAACTTTATAGTTGCTTTGAGCCAACTTATGAAGCCACATATCCTGTGCCGGTATCAAATTGTCGGGGTTGGCACTTTTCGCAGCCATATCAATTAACTCATTATTTACCTCGACCGCTTGTTCTAAATAGTTCCTACATTTTTCAATATAGGTTTCAAGTTTTGAGCAACGACTCTGACTCTCTATGTACTCTAAAATTATTTTATGGCATTTATAAAGTTCGTTTTCGAGATTGCTACGTTTCTCAAACAATTTCTTAATTTTCTTCTGAAACTTAACTTCCATGCCTGATAATTTCAGAAATAAACGACTCTCAGAAAATACTTTATTTTTCTCAAGTAAATCCACAAAAAACTCTAATACATCAATAACTTACAAGGGGGAGTAACTTGAAGTTTTAACGCTTAAATCTATTGTGAATCGCTCTACGATTTTTAGGCGAAAAACGGTTCCGCTTCTTCTTAGCTTTCAGTGTACTTAGGTCAGCTTTGTATCGTCTAAGTAACAACAGAGTCTTCAACTCAAGGGAAGGGGGCTGATGCAGCTCTTTATACTTTTCGATAAGTATTTGGTCTTTGGCCTTTCGCTTTGAGATAAAATCCTCAACTACGAACGAGAATACCTGTCTTTTTCAACTCTTTTTCTATATTGTCCGAACCGTTGCGGCGACAGTAAACAATAGCGGTAAAATTCTCCTTGTTTCTCAAAAAAGGCTCTTAAGTTGGTCAGTACTCAAACTACGGTTGTTGTTACTGCGGTGCTTACTAATGGAGTTATTTATCGCGTCGTGCCAAATAACCAGATCTTTCCGATTCGACGAAAAATGGTGCAGATAGTATTGGATAGTTTTCTGCGAGTCCCTGGCGTTAAAGTTAAACCTTAAACCGGGCTTTGTGAAACAAGTCTCTTTCACGCGCTTTTGAGACGCTGCGGATAGTTTACGGAGCGCGTGGTCTAGAGAACTAGCTCCTAGAATGAATACCATACACTTAAGAGACCTATGCGACAGATACGTTACGCTTAAGTACTAATGGGGTGGGGAAATTAAGTAGGTCGGTTGAACTCCAACAACACACACGGAGTAAACCTGAGGATGAAAGAATTCAACTAAACTCACTTAATATCACCCTACCTGACCACTTAACATTAGTGTCGCGCAACGAAGTCAATAATCGGACGGGCTGAAACGGCTTAGATTCACTTGAAGCGAACTGGTTTTCAGTTTCACCAATGGTGGGTGGGGGATCAGGCAAACTGGTTAAGTTCCAACAACTCACGCGGAAAAAACCTGAGGATGAAAAAACTCAACTTAATTTGCCTGATATTTCGCTAGCAGACCACTTACCATAAGGTTGGTGTCATGTTACAGCACAGTTTCGCAGAATTCTGGGGACGTTTTGAGGATTTTTTGGCAATTTTTTAAACTTTTCCCCCAAAATTTTTCGGAAAATTTTGGTCAGCAGGTTCGAGTCGTAAACCAACCCAAAAGCTAGTCCACTACCTCTTGTCTAGGATCCGATTTCACGGACTAATATTCCGTTTACAATTACCCAAAAATTTGTGGTATCGGGAAAATTACCACTCGTAGCTTGCTTTGAGTTGGGATACACAATAAGACATCGTATGTAATTTTATTGCACAGAAAGATTTTAAAAAAACTAGACAAGTCTTACAGTTTTTGACGATTTTGGATATTTTCGGCACCGGAAATTTCTCTCTCACGATTCTGAACAACTGCACTACTTCAGTTGGTATCGACCAACTTCACGCTCTTTCGGCCAACAGCACAACTTCACTCTGTTTCGGCCAACTTCACTCTCTTTCGGCCAACAGCACAACTTCACTCTCTCCTTCTTTTGAAGCTACAGCTCCGGTCCTGCTCTCCTGGTTCTCTCCTTTCTCCTTGACTTCACCTGTGGACGCTGCTGTTGTAGTCTCCTTGTCTTTTTCTTTCTTCAGTTGTTCTTCCTCCTCTGTGAAAGTGGGGTCCACACCAGAGCACACAACTTCTCCAGATGTTCCAACACAATGTCCCTTGTGTTGGAATGCCGAATCATGTCCCTTGTGTCGACTTCGTCGTGTGTAGGTCCTTTGTGGGGCGCAAAAATGTGCGCGTCAATCTCCACAGTTTGAAAAAATCAGTTTTCAAACAATTTAATTAACGAGCATTTTATCGGTAAAATAGCTCAGGAAATTTGGCAACAACGATATTTTTTTAACGGACTTTATCATCGGTAACATCGGTCATAAACATCTGCATAACTCAAAGCAAGCTGCAAAAATGGCCAGTATTTGTCCTTGAGACAAATTGCTCTTTCTAAAGGTCAGCCTTAATCAAGGCTGAACCAAATTAGAGCGAAAAGACGGTTAAAATAGGTTTTTTTTTTGGGGGGGGGGGGTCGAACCTGGTTACGGAGCGTCCCATCCAGTTCGGGGCATATTTGAGTTGTAGAAAGGAAATGACCTAGTCGGGATTCGAACCGGCGCCGAACCCGCCGGGACGCACCCTGGATACGCTTGGCTACTGTCCCTAAATGCATTTACATTTTGGTTCAATTTTATTGCTCTTGAACTTTTCCAGCTATGTTTATAGTAAAATTTTTGGTTCATAGGAAATTTATGGTGCCTGAGTCTCTAAAGTTTTGATTAGTTAGATATTGAAATCACACGAGTGAAAAATAACAAATTTAAAGTTTTTCTTTACGTTCAGCCTTCAACGCTGAAATTAGATTTTTCGATTTTTTTTCAGTAGAACAGAATCTCAAAAATAGTTCAAGGAAAATAGCTCACGGAATACTAACTTTAGGAGTTTTTCGAGGGATGCATTTGTAGCAATTGGAATATCAAGACGGTTTAAAGTTTCGGCCTCAAAAAATAACTTATCTTTACTTACTAAAAATGACGACACTGTTTAAAAAACTATTTGACATCAGAGTGAAAAAACTGAACATTCGGAGCATCTTTTTTTTTAAAACCAAGAAAATTTTTTCTTGAAATTTATGAACGCAACCTCGATCATAACTGAAACTAATTCAAGCTGATAGATACAAATACCTGGTACGACGTATCTTTGTAGAAGCAGATTTATTTGGAGAAAAAATGGATTAAAAAATTCCTTACTACTAATGGTCGGAAAAATATAAGTACCAGTTATTTTTGCGAGAAGACCAAAAAGACGCAAAAAAATTACAAAAATAAAATGTGAAAAAAATTTTCTTTTAAATATTTTTTGAACTTTTCCAGCTATGTTTATTCTTTTTCGATAACGAAAAAATTTAGAATGATACAAATTAAAGGAAAACAGGATAATTTTTCTTGTCCCGAGTTTGTTGATATACTCGAAATTGAGTGGGAAAAACATTAAAGATCGTTTAATCATTTGATGGTTTGAGATCAAAGATGATTGTCGAGCGTCAACCTGCAGCTCCGTTTACCGTCGTGGCTTTGGGCCCTTTCCAAATATTCCCTTTCCAAATATTTGGCGACACTCCGTGAGTAGCCATTTGGCGACACTCCGTGAGGTCAAAGAATTTATAAACACGTTGCGTGAGCAAGAAACTGACTTAACGGAAAATATTTCAGATTTTATTATTTTTCCAATCAATAATTCAACCTTGAGCAAAAACAATCATCAATAAAAAATTTTATTGAAATTGAGATAAGAGTTGCCTAATTTTTTTTCAGTTCATTTTTCCAACTTGATATTTATTTCATTTGTATCATAAAAATATTCAATCTGAATGATTTGCGTAGAATTTGAATCAACCCAGCTAACAGCTTGCTTATACACGGGATTCCAGTTAGTATTTTTATCAGTTTGATTTCTATCGTCGAAATTATCTCCTTGATCCAACTGATCCAAAAGACCCTCCGATATGACAACATTTTTGCATTCACAATCGCCACTTGTTTGCGAACTAATCAATTCATATTCCATCCATAGGAATAAACAATTTGACACACAACGGTTTTTCTTCTCCGATAGAATATTTTTCAGGTCAAATTGATAGCTCCAACTCTCTTCGTTTACTTCGGAACTCAAATCGAATTCATGAATTGTTTTTGGTTTTGTGTGAAGAAAAGTTTCGTACTGAAATAATCGATGACTTTCAACATTTGCAAAGGCAGATTTTGATACCTTAGTCATGACTTGATTAAATGCTTGTAAATTGATTCCATGAATTGATCCTGAAATCGGTTCACGAATTTTATGCAAATTAGTCGTTCGTCCAAGCGCACATTTTAAAACTGCTTTTGAAGGAATCACTCGAAAGGGTTGGCTAGAATTTTTTTGAACAAACTTTACTATTTGTCGAAAAGTTAGGACATTATGCCACGGTAATTCCGACGACATAAAATAAGGTTCGCCAATAATGAAATCAACTTCAAAGCTTTGTGGCAATATTTGTAGGAATTCAACTTCAATATTTGGTATACTATTGCACTTAATAATTTTTCGTAAAGTTTTCAAACAAAGTGTGTTTTCTTCGTAAATTAAAAGTTTAGCGGGTTTCAAGGAAAGAATTAAATCAAGTAATAGGTTGAAGTTTCCTACCAGTAAAACAGTTTTTGAGCTCAAATTGTAAGTCAAAAGAGCTTTTCGGTATTTCTCGAAGTAATCAATATCGTTGGCTAGCAGAAACCGATTTCGATTAAGGCAAATATGCACTCCACAAAAACAAGATGGGGGATTGATTTCGTTGTCTGTGAATTTTTCTGGCTCCGAAACAGAATTAATATCAAACCAGAAATTGTATTCATCGTGATTACATTTCAGCTTAATGTGTTTCCCTTTTTCAACTTTTATAGCATTTTTCGGACAGTAAACAGCTTGCATCCAATGTTCACGCCAGGGGACTTTCAGATCTCTGAAACTGTCCTTAAAAGGAGATGTAGAAATAATTGAATCACAGTCATTTTCTGCCGAATCATCATTCATAAATAGCTTCCAATAAAACAACAGACCGTCAATTGAACCTGAATTCGTACATTGAATATCTATTTCTTTGCTCTCCTCTAAATTTTCCTCCGAAAGGTTCGAAAAATTGAAATCAAAAACCTCGATGGGTTTTGATAGTTCGATAAAATCATCTTTCAAATAATCCGATTCCAATAAATGCGCGAATTGAAGCTCTAAAGGCGAGGCAAGTCCTGAACAACTTTGAACATTCTTGAAATACGACCCAAAATAACTTTCTCCAAATGCTCTTTCGATTCTCAAAAACTTCCTAATGAATTTCGATTGGAAGGTAATCACGAAAACTTTTGCCGAATGAGGAACAAATTTGTAATCATCGCTCTGTTTATAAGTAGTTAATAACTCTTTCTTCGCGTGTATAAATGTACTGAGACAACCTTCGCCGATCAATTCAGTGTCAAATATTTCAGCAACTATTAAATTAACTTCCTCTTTGAGTGAAAGTTCACTTCGTTTGACATCTTTGGAGCATCTTGGAACTAATTCGACGCTTGATTGGTCAATTCCGTTGTCCAATAGCGTTTGAGATGCAATTTGATACATCGGTAGGAAAGACTCGAAAGCAGTGACAAGATCAGCTCCTAAAATAATCTACTAAGCTCATTCTTAACAAAAAATAAACACGAAATTTTGTTCAACGGAATTTTCTAAAACCCATTTGCCCATTATGGCTGAAAAAGAGAGATGTGTGACTAACCGCTATTGAGAGCTAGAATCGCCAGTAAGCCAGTTCCAGTGCCAATATCCACACAATGAATCTTAAACAAAATTCTATTTCAGCTATCCAAAAACTTTAACTCTTTAATGTAATTTTTATTAGCAGAAAGAACAGTTGACAAGTATCAAGTAAAGTAACTGTAATGAAAGCATGGTCAACCAATAGTTACAAAAGAGTGAATTTACTGTAGTTAAATAAAAACAGCAAGAAATTTCGTGAAACTACTTCAAATTTGAAATTTATATAAATGTTACGATATTTGAATATTTTCTCAGAAGATTTCTCGTAATAACTAAATCAAAAAGAAAGTCATCAAAAAACCAAATCAGTCACAAACTCAAAAAACCTTGATGAAAAAACCCAAGCTAAAAAAATTGTTAAAATTATCGGCTAAAAATCTTCAAAATCTATTAAAATTCTTGCAGCTCTGATCAAAACCATTTTACCTCAACTATTCAAAATAATTTAGCAGTTTCTCGTAACAAAAACTTGGAAAAGATTCAACAAAAACGTGAAATTTCGTTTAAAAATCGTATCCCCAAATATAACACAAAACTTTGCGCAAAAAGTTGAGCCAAACTAATTGCAAGCCCATCAGAAACATTTTAGTTCAAACCTAAATCCATTGCTACCTTAGAACTGAGGAAAATTGAAAAATATCCAAAAAAAACAACAAATGGAAAAGTATCAATGAACTCACCTGAAACAAAAATAAACTAACTTGGTTTTGGATTTGAAATGCAGTTTCGAACCAGAAAGTCATTCACAATTTTTTGGGCCATTTCTGCATTCTATTTCTTAAGAGAACGTAAATTGCCTTCCTTTAAGCAAATCAAAATTAATTGGACTTAAAGCGAAATAAAAGTCAAACAGCAAAAGGTCATGTTTGGCGTAATCAAATTTTTCCAAGAAAAAAATTATCACGACCTATATAAGTGTTTTGGCTATAATCATTGAAACTAAGAAACAATTTTTTTTTAAAAAAACTGACATTTTAAAGCACCCGTGAATAAAAAAACTTCCAAACAATTGCCACAAAAAATGCAAAAAATCTATACGAACTCTGGAAAATTATCAAATCAATCCAATAGCATCATTCTTAACATATAGGAAGTGAATACGAAATGGTATGAAAAAAATATTACAACGTATAGACGAAAAAAAGATGCTCGTGTAATGACAAAAAAAACAAATTGTTAATATCAAAAATGGTCACAAAACTCAAATCAGAAACAAGGATAGCCGGTTGCTGTGCAAGCAGCACCGAAATTTCCGACCAAATTAAAAAATAAAAATACTTTTTCTGCATATTGCAATGATTTTTGCTCAATCGGCTATGATCAGATCTGAACGAAAAACTAGAAAATAGATAAAAACGATAAAAATAGCAAAAAACGTATTGTTGACAACAGTTTTCATCATCATAAAATGAAAAAATCAAAACAATTTTGTACCTTTTTTTGTTGAAGGTTTCTTTTATTTGGTTATTTTCAAAGAAAATTTTGTTTTCAAGAAGGCGCCAAAAAAGCATCAAAAATTCAAATTCCTGGAGTAAAGGTGAGTTTTGACGTCTCATTACCGTATTATAGGCCTGCTTAAATGCAATAAAATGAAATTAAATTTGGAAAAATTTAAGAAAAAACGTTAACACCAGGTTTTTAACGCATGTTATGTTGCGTTTGCAGCTCATTCTATGTCAACTGAGCAACCGCTGCATACAAAATCGGATGATAGGATTTCGGCAATGATATCTTTATCTTACCAATTCTTTAGGCGCAAATCTTCCAACAGCAATTCTTCAATTAAATATAAAATCCACATTTAATATAAAAACCTTCATACTTACTTTACTTTTTCCGTCTTTAAGGTCTGTCAGTGACCGAACAGCCTTGGTAATGGCCTCCGCATACTTGTTATTTCTGTCTTCATCATGGAGCATGTCACCATACGACGAAAGAGCAATCTCACTTTCAAGACCTCCGACTGTATCTTCAGAATCATCTGCACTGTTATGAAGTACACTCCATTCTAACTTACCGGTGTGGGGATCACGTGTGAGTTTAAACATTCTATTCGAGTAACTAGTATATTGTCATTCGAGTGAAATCATGAGTTGGAAGCACGAAGCCTTCACGGGTAAATATTCATTTTAATCGTTCTGAAAACTGATCGTTGCTATAATTTATGATTTATGCTTAACAGCATTTTTTGGTCGGTCAGCCAAAAATAGATGTCGTCAAGTACAAAGTTTGGCCTTCAGGGTGAACAGGGGTCAAACTCCTGAAGGGCTGGGACGTTTGAATTGTGTTAAAGTGAACCTTAATTTCAAACCTAAAGCAAATGTAAGCCGAATCTTATAGGCTGAAAATTCTATATTATTTGTATGAAATATTTTTGGTCGAGCTAAATGTATAAGATTCATAGCTATAATCGGGTCCATTCGCTATATTCTCTGGCTGAAATCAAATATGAATTCTGTTTATATACACGTTTATTCGAAATTTTTTCTCTCTTCTTTGGATATAGATAAGTAGTATTGTAATCCGCCGTGTGTCCTTAGGGGGGGGTCTTTTCGACGGTAGGGGTCTTTGGGGTCCTACCAAAAGTAGGGTCTAAAAGGACCCATCTTTTTTAAAGACCCCAAAGTACCCTGCCCGAAATAAAAAGACCCCTCTCTTAGGACACCCGACAGAGAAAATACTTGGTATTTATTTTCGCGCGGTGGTTAAATTTAATCCCTTCCAAACTTTCCCACTGTTCAACTAAATAAGTTTGAGACCCCATTAAAAAACTGACCTGCTTGAGAAGGAGGAAGGACGTGACAAATAATAAGAGGGTAAGAAGGTAAAGAGGACTTGATAAATAATAGATAAAGTAACATTTAAAAAAAGAAAAAATAAAATAAAAACGGAATGTTAACAAGAGTACGGATAGGAGAGCAGAGGAAGGGTTTACGGCCACATCCGCATGTCGTCTTCGGGATCCGACCAAGGGACATGAAGAATACTGACTAGACGCTCCATTTGAAATTTGAAGCGCCACTCAGTACTCTCGAATCCAGCACCCAGAGACTCGCACAGCCAGAAATTTTCCATGCTCCCCACATCAACACACACATATTCAAATATGCCCTCCTTTTTCTCAAATGCAACCTCAATGTAATGCAGCTTAAAATTCGCTGCAGTGGTGGCCGGGGTAAACTCTACGGTCACACCAAAGATATTTTTGCCTTCGTGAGTTCCAGGTCCCACATAAGGCAAATCAATGGGTGACTCGTGGAGACCACCAAGGGGAATATCCATCTAAACACATGAAAATAGGTAGAAATCATTAGTTAGAAATAGGAGTGAGTAAGTGGTATCTAGAAGGTTACTTTCATTTCCACTGGCTTGAAATTCAGCAGGTCGGAGAAGTGCTGGAAAAATTAAAAAAAAATGAAATTGGAAAAACGTAGAGTTACTTCAAAAGACTTGGAAATTATTCATGAAATTTTTATTACTTTGAAAAAAACCTATCCGGAAAACACCAACCGTCGAAATTATTTCTTAGCTGCATGTTCACTGTTCTTCTTCTCAACTACTAATGATATAAATTACGATGTTGCTATCAAGTTGAGACCCTATGGGGGTCTGATCGGTATAGACAATTCTTCTTTGGATAAATATTTAAATGATTCGAAAATTTTACGATTGCATGCTATTTTACACGATGCCGCCGGTTTTGTCCGCGAAGTTTATAACACTGGTCCCACATACTGCTATGTTTTACCATGGAAATGCAACAGTAGTTTGATTGGTCACTTGAGTGGAATTACGTTTTGTTTGTATATCAAACTGAAAAAACCGAAACTCTACCATTTATTAGAATGCTGAAAGAAAAATCAGTTGTGTTGGATTTTGAGGGATTTCGACACCAGAAAAACACATTTATAGTAAAAGAATTAGCTATAACAACTTCCGACAACAGTGATTCCCTAGTTTTTCTACCTCCAGTTAATTTCAATTCCCTTCCAAAATCTGAACAAAAAGCCTACAACTGGCTGACAAATTATTTGCACGGACTTCATTGGGATAGCGGTGATTATTTATACCTGAATTTGAACCAAATCATTCAAAGTTTTGTCTTAAGAAACCCCAATGCTGTATTCTACGCCAAAGGAAAAGAAAAAGCTGATTTTTTATCCAAATACTTAGACCGCAAAGTTGTGAATCTTGACGATTTGGGCTGTCCACGAGTCGAACAATTATATTTCAAGAATTTTGTGAATTGTAACAAACACCTACCGCACCATAACTCTAAAAATCATTGTGCATTAAAAAAGTCGAAAGCGTTCTTTGATTGGTTGAAAAATGAGTGTCAACAACGAGCGTCAAGGGAAAGTGGAGACATACATATCTCCAAATTCAGTTCTTTGTGCTTGGATGACACCAGAAAGTAACATAAAGATTTCATTGACCAGGATTGAACGCATTGATTGTAGAGGCCAAGTAGTTCAACGAAAAGAACAAGTTACACTTTCTGAAGAAGAGTTGTGCACTTTGAGGAGGTTCTTCCCCGTGATTGACCAATTCATCTACTTTCAACGATTCAAATACATCAGTAATGTTACCCAGCAAGCGCGGTCTTTGTCTTCCCAAGCTAGTCTTAGTGCCCAAACGTCAACCAGGAGTTCAAATGGATCTAACCAGCAGTGAACTACCCAATGAGATTCAAAAAATAATAAGAGAAGATTCTGTGAAGAAAATTGTGTATCATGCCAAAACTGATCATGTCCCAGCCAATTATGTTTTGGAAATGCACTATGATTTTGATGATGATAATAAACCGAGTGTCTATACAGGTTATACACGATATGAAATTTATTACTGTTCAGATGCTTAATTAATTTTTTTATATATGATATATATTTTTCATTCTGCAAGTTCAAGAGTGAGGGAAAGCGGTAGGGAAATTGAAATGAATGACACAGTAGTTGACGAGACTGATGGAACTATAGTTACCGATTTTGTGTATGACGAAAATCATATGGAGAAAAAATCATGGAAATTTTGCAATAACGTGACTGTACCACGGTCTGAAGTAGTTTTCATGTCACAAATGGTGTTGATTCTGATTTTATTGGCTTTTTGTATTTTTAAACTTTCATTAACGCAGTTAACTTGTGAAGAAACCTCAGTTTGGTTTTCAATTTTATCGGGTTTAGTTGGTTATGTATTACCAAATCCAAGAATATGAATAAAGTTATTGATACATCTACGAGACTTTTTTTAGCCATCGTGGGCCCCTCGGGTTCTGGAAAAACAGAGCTGATATTCAAATTGTTGAAAGGAAAAACATTTTATCCCAAATTTCAAAGAGCCTTATACTTTTACAAAGAGATTCAGCCTCTTTATAGTGAAAAATCCAATACCCACAGCATTGATCTAACTTTCATAAAATTCAATGGCTTTGACAGTTTGCGAAACCTTGAAAACATTCTTCTAGTTTTTGATGATTCATGCGAAGAAATCTATAACGATAAAGACTTTGTCAAACTTGCAACAGCAGGAAGACACCGAGGACTAGATGTAATATATGTTAAACATAATTTGTTCCAACAAAGCAGATGGTCTCGAACAATTGATTTAAACACATCACACATCATTCTGTTCAAATCACCTCGTGATATTCAGCAACTTGATCATCTTGGAAGACAATTGAACAACACTAAATTTTTGAGACACTGTTATCAGCTCGCTACAAAAGACACATACGGTCATCTTTTAATCGACTTGGATCCGCGTACATCCGATTGTTTGAGATATTGTTCAAACATTACACCACCTGGTCCCTCAATTTTTTACTTACCAATAAATCAGGCAGAGGTTACACCTCTCACAAATGAACGCGAAAAAATTATCTATTCTGCAGCACATGGTACAATTGAATCCCAGCCAGCTCCGAAGCTTCATTAGAAAAACAACAAATCCTCAAGTTATTTCAGTTATATGTGAATGTTTGCTCAATGTAGTCAATGGCAATGTATCTGTTAATATTCCAAACATTGAAAATTTCGAAGTGGCATACAAACTTTTAATCAGCCGAAAAACAAAACTTGAACGAAAACGAGCAATTATTCTAACGAAACAAGGTTTCAACTTGATCAGACTGATACTTTACTTCTGCTACAGATACTTACCATCAGCATAAAACATGGCAGCAGAAGAGTTTGTTTTAATTCCAAAACATACATATATCCGTGAGCAACCGCATGCATCACAAGTGCTGTTTAACAGTTCAATTAAACACAAAAAGCCCCAGTTATCTTACTTGAACCGCATGAGACCTCTAATACCCACGAAGCATAACTCAGTATCGACTGAAACTCTTCCACTACCCCTTCCCCCAACACCTCCCTCAACGCCTATTAATGACCCTGGGGAACAATCAACAGGACTTCTTACAGAAGATGAGACTAATCAATATCAGGAAGGTGGGGAGGAAGAGGAGAAGCGGATTGTGGATGAGAAGGAGCGAAAGGATAATAAAATAAACTATGAACGCATTCTATTACAATTGCAAATAATGGAGGATAAAAAATTCACGAGAGCTAAAAATATCCTGGAGGTTATCAAAAGCTCAACTCGAGTCTCAATAAACGCCATGGATGAAACAATTTATGTTGACAATGTACCAACCGGTCTCAAAGCAGCATCATTTTTGTATGATATACAACAGCAAACTAAAATACTACACAACCCTGCTTACATAATGATTTTATCCGCTCTCGAACTTACCGAAGAGTCTGTTATTAACAAGTATGCCAAACACGCGGTTCAGTCAAAGATTAAAGAACAGGCCCAACGAAAAACCAAAAGTCCAACCAAATCTCCGTCAACCTCGGGCAAAACAAAAACCCTCGACAGTAGTAAGCCATCATCAAGTTCAAAACAAACCAAACGACTCAAAACAAGAAAGAAAGCCACCACGGAAAGAGTCAAAGAAAGAGAGAAAGACGAAGACGACAGTGAATCGTACGGTACGCCCTATAACGATTCAGATTCTTCAACGTCAGAAAAGACGGAGACAAAAAGTAAAAGATGGGAAACCTACACCAACTGAGGAAAAACTTTTGAAAAAGAGTTACACAGATAAAGGTCCAGCATTGTTCGGTA